CCTCCCCTCACAACTGATGGGGGGCGGCCGCCCCCCCCCCCCGTTCGAACTCCCCGCTCCCCCCGTTGCAATTCAAGGGCCTACCCCTGGTTCGCCCCGCCTAAAAGAAAGACCCCCCCCCCGTTCGACCCCCCCACCCTGCAATTCAGGGCCAAACCCCCCCCGTTGAACCCCGCCGGCGCTTCCAAGCGTCCTCACAGAACGCGCTCTTTCGTTCCGCTTCGCCTTTGCATGTCGGGGCAGCGTGCGTGAAACCAGCTCGGTTTTTGTCATGTTGGGATGGCCCCGGCGGCCAACCGATCCTGGCGATGGAGCGTCTCTTCCTCCGCAGCGGGGTCGAGTCCCCCAGTGGGCGACTTCAGCCGGATTGGGAGAAAGGGTGAAGATAATGAAGAAGAGGCTGCTCAAGGTGGATCTGACACAGGCTGTCACCGAGACGAGCCCAGCGGGACCCGCTGCCGACGAAACCCACATCCTCCCCCTCATATGAGGAAGAGCGGGTGGGAGTAGGGGAGAATGACGAGTGAAGACAACTGAGAAGGCAAAGGAGGCAAGGTGGAATTGTGGTCTGGCCGCCGACGAAGACCAGATCTTCCCTCCCCTCAGGGCAAAGGGATTGGGAGGGCGGCGGTGACGATGATGCTGCTGCTGATGATGTTGATGATGCTGATGGAGATGGAGATGGTGATGATGATGATGTGGATGATGCTGGAGATGGTGATGATGATGGCGACGGTGACGATGATGCATTGTGTGGCAGGGCCCCCGCGGATGCCGCGGCTGAGGCTCGGCCTGCCCCGCGCCGCTCGCCGCGCGGCGGGGCGCCGCCGCTCGCTGCGCGGCGGCCCGCCGAGCCCCCAGGGGCCAGCGAAGGGCCCGCCCCGCTCGGCACCGCTCCCGCGAAGGGGAGAAGCAGAAAAAGGGCCTGCGGCACCCCGGGCAGCACGGGAGAGGGCAGGGGCGCCCGCTCGCCCCAAGAGAACCCAGGAACAAGCTTCTGGACCCCGAGGAGGAGGAGGAGGAGGAGGAGGAGGAGGAGGAGGAGGAGGAGGAGGAGAGGAGGAGGAGGAGGAGGGAGGAGGGAAGATATTGGGTGAGGGAGGAGAGGAGGGAGGAAGAGAGGTGGCGGATGGCGAAAGGAGGAGGGGGATGGAGGCGGAGGAGGAGGGAGGGGGGAGAGATGGCGGAGGAGGAGGAGGGAGGGACGGAGGAGGGAGGGGGAGGAGGACGGATGGGGATGGGTGATGGAGGAGGGAGGGGGAGGAGGGAGGGGCGGGGGGGGGGGAGAGGAGGGAAGACGGTGAGGAGGGAGGAGGAGAAGGAGGAGGGAGGGAGGAGGGAGAGGGGGATGGAGGAGGGAGGAGGGAGGAGGGCGGAGGGGGAGGACTGAGGGGGAGGAGTGGAGGAGGAGAAGGAGGGAGGAGGAGGAGGAGGCCGGGCGGAGGAGGAGTAAAAGGAGGAGGAGTGGACAATTATTAGGAGGAGGAGGAGGAGGAGGAGGAGGAGGAGGAGGAGGAGGAGGAGGAGGAACGAGGAGAAGGGGAGGAGGAGGAGGAGGAGAGGAGGAGGAGGAGGAGTAGGAGGAGGAGGAGGAGGAGGAGGAGGAGGAGGAGGAGGAGGAGGAGGAGGAGATGAGGAGGGAGGAGGGAGGGAGAAAGGGAGGAGGAGAGGGAGGAGGAGGGACGTAGAGGAGAAGCGGAGGGGGAGGAGGAGGAGGAGAAGGAGGAACAGGAGGCGGAGGAGGAGGAGGAGCGAGGAGGAGGAGGAGGAGAGCGAGGAGGAGGAGGAGGGAAGAGGCAGGAGGAGGAGGAAGGAGGAGGAGGAGGAGGAGGAGGAGGAGGAAGGAGAAGGGAGGAGGGGAGGAGAGAGGGGAGGAGGAGGAGGAGGAGAGGAGGAGGAGGTAGGAGGAGGAGGAGGAGAGGAGGAGGAGGAGGAGGAGGAGGAAAAAGAGGAGGGAGGAGAGGAGAGGAGTTGGAAGAGGCGGAGGAGGAGAGGGAGGGGGGGGCCGAGAAAAATGGGAGATGGACCGCCGAGCCGAGGGCGGGGAGCGAGCTCCCGCACCGCCCTGGGGGAGGAGTCAGCGGGACCTGGCAGCCGCCCGGGAAGGAACGCCCGAGCGTGGGGGCTCTTGGATCCCGGAGGCCCGGGGTGCGCCCCGCCTGTGCCAGGGGGCGCTTTGGTCCGACACCCCGCTTCTGGGGGTGCTCCTCTGGGGACTGATGATGCTGATGCTGATGCTGATGCTGATGCTGAGGATGATGATCAAGATGATGCTGATTCATCATCTGATGATGATGATGATGATGATGATGATGATGATGATGATGATGATGATGATGATGATGATGATGATGATGATGGCAAGGATGATGATGACGATGATGAGGATGGTGGTGGTGATGCCGATGATGACAGGCCAGGTTCTCAGAATGGAGTGCGTTGGTTTCTGAATTTTCCTGGGAGTTGGTGGCCGTTTCCAGGGATGCAGAACGAGGGGTGGGGAGGAAAGGGCATGAGGAATAGCCGGGGGAGTGAAGGCTTCTCCTTCCCCTCCCCCTTTTCGTCTTTCCTCCTCAAGTGAATTGCCGACACAGGCGCGCCTGGCACCACCCAAGGAGGGCGACATGTCAAGTTGTGCATACGAGTGGCGCAGGTCCGCTGGACATGGAGCTAAGGAAAGCGTTGACGACTGCACGACTGGTAGCGCCCTAGTTTGGCGAGAGAAGACAAGAAGCAACCCATCATGGGGCGCGATGAGGACGGCGGGAAACGCGAGCGGGGAGGAGGGAGAGGGGAGGGGGGATGAGGCGAGAGGAAAAGCATGGCTCCGTTCGAGACAAGGACACAGCACGCGGTTCTGGAGACATCCAGTCTGAACTCCTCCTCCTCCCCCTCCCCCTCCTCCTCCTGCTCCTCCTCCTCCTCCTCCTCCTCCTCCTCCCTTGGAGGCTTCCCAACTCGGGTCCCAGTGAATGGGGTCGGAGCATCGCGCCGCATCGCCGATGCATCGCCAATGCATCGCCCGTGCATCGGCGACGTCTGCGATGAATCGACGCCGTCGGTGTGGAGATAATCGGACTCCACATCGAGCCGCACGCACCGGCGATGCGGCACGTTCTGCTGACCCCATCTACTCGGACCCCATCTGAGAGGCTGGAGGTCTCGCCCTTCCCCCGCATCCTCCCCCCAGCTCCTCCTTCCCCTTCGCCTGCCTCCCGCACCCAAAGCGCGCTTCGTCTCCCTGCCCGTCTTCCATTCTCCCCCTCTTTCTCCTCCTCTGTCTCCTCCTCCTCCCACTTCTCCACCTCCCTCCGCCTTTCATCCCTCCTCCTCCTCCTGACGAGGTGGCGGCGGCAAAATGACAGTGCCGAAACTCGCCCGGAGTTCAGCAATGCATGAAGGTGCAAACAGGGCTCGACTTAAACAGTGCTTTCCGTTTTCGTTTTGTTTTCGTCATCCCTAGCTCTGTCTTTGTTCCACATTTGCTGCAAAACGAAATCAAAACGAAAACGGTCCACGAAATTGCCAAAACACCGTTTAGCTCGATTCCTGGGTGCAGATCCGACCTGTTTGGCTACTGCTCCAGGTGGGCCCGTGCTCAGGGGAGGCTGCAGCACCGCTTCACGACGTACTATGAACCGAGCCTGCAGGGCAGGCCCTACAGTCGGACTCGATTGGAGAGGACACGCGAGAGGACACAAGACCCTTCCGAGGGCCACATCGCCACAGGAGTCGGACTTGATTGGAGAGGACACGTGAGAGGACACAAGACCCTTCCGAGGGCCACATCGCCACAGGAGTGTAAGAAGGCACGCGTCGCGAGGCACGGGACACAAGGGCACCCTTGAGCTGGCAGGGTCGACCTACTAATCAGGGCCGACTGTGCTCTTTCCCGTGCACTTCCGCTTTGGCTTCGGCTTCAGATGTGATGCACGTCGCAGCGCCTTCGGGCCAGCTCACCCGAGTCGGTTTTCCCCCCGCACGGGTGCCTGTGCCCCTGCCTTGCTTCATTCCCCCTCCTCCTCCTCCTCCTCCTTATTTCTGCCTCACTTTTCTCCACCTCCTCTTGTCTTGTGCTCCCTCCCTCCCTTCCTCTCTCCCTCCTTCTCCTCTCCATTCATGTTCCTTCCCTCCCCCCTCCCTCCGCCTCCTCCTTCTCCTCCTTCTCCTCCTCCTCGTCTCCGTCTTCCGTCAACTGCCCTGCCTCTTCCCCCTCACTCCTCCCTCACATCCGCCGCCCCTTCCCAGCGGCACCTGGAGCGCGCTCACCTTGCCGGCGACGAAGATCATCTGGGCGTCCTGCGACTCGCAATAACCGTCCCACACGCTCTTGCGCTTCATGCACCCCTCGCGGGGGCGGGCGGGGACGTCTTGTGGAGAGAAGTAATGCGCCACCGTGCCCCCCCCAGGACATTGAGGCATGGCACACTGCCATGTGCTGCCTGGGAGAATTTCTGTACTCATCTATAGCAACATGGATCCTCGCTCCCGAGTCCGCGACCCCTCGTCAAAAAATTATGGATCCGGGCTCATGAGGTCACAAACGCTACCGTGCTCAATGCAACAATCCCCTGTATGCGCATCGCATGTCCCGGCACTTCCCGCTGCGAGTGCCTGGGTGAGGAAACTTTAGTCTCTGGTGACTGCGCGCTCCCTTGCTATATCGCGTATATCGCGATGATCATGAGAGGAAGAGGGGGAAGAGAAAACGAAAGAGGAGGATGAGGATGAGGATGAGGATGAGGATGATGAGGAGGATGAGGAAGGAAGAGGAAGAGGAAGAGGAAGAGGAAGAGGAAGATGATGATGATGATGATGATGATGATGATGATGATGATGAGGAGGAGGAGGAGGAGGAGGAGGAGGATGATGGGGAAGAGGAGGAGGAGGAGGAGGAGGAGGAGGAGGAGGAGGAGGAGGAGGATGAGAGGAGGAGGAGGAGGAGGAGGAGGAGGAGGAGGAGGAGGAGGAGGAGGAGGAGGAGGAGGAGGATGGAGGAGGAGGAGAGGGAGGAGGGAGGAGGGAGGAGGAGGAGGAGGAGGAGGAGGAGGAGGAGGATAATGGAATGTAATGGAATGGTGAGTTCGCGAAACGAACAAATATTTAATGTGGGACGATGCCTCTGGCTCGTTGCGCCGACAACGAGAGAGCCTTTGGCCAGAGCCCGGTCACCAATCCTGGTTAAATAAGCCTTGCCAGTTCTGTCGAGCTGTTCCGAACATGGCCTGCCGAAGTTCCTAATCTGCTGGTGGACAAAATAGCCACGCGTCCCACAGAACCAGATCTCCACATCATTGTGAAGCCTAAGGTTTTGTGTGAAGTGCCCCCCCCCGCGCAATGGACCTGGAAACCTTGAGGGATCCCGCTCAGAACCCAATTAACGGGCACAAGCCTACGACAAAGTGTATTCAACCATCCAGTGAGCTTCTCACGCGAGGCCGAACCACGACAAACACTACACGACCTACCGTCCTTACGCAGAGTGTGTGCCGTGCAAAACCTGGCGGCCGTGGTGGGTGGCGGTGGGAGCTGCTGGTCGTTTTGGGTCGGTGCTGCTTGCTGTGATGCTGGTCGGTGGTCGGTTGGTGGTGGTGGGCGCTGTTGGTCGGCTGGAGTCTGTGTTGCTTGTGGTGGTGTTGCTGGTGCTCGCTGGTCGGTGGTGGGTGGTGGTGGGCGCTGCCGGTCGGTTGGGGTCGGCGTTGTTTGCTGTGGTGCTAGTCGGTGCTGGTCGGTTGGTGGTGCTGGGCGCTGCTGGTCGGCTGGAGTCTGCGCGGCTGGTGCTGGAGGTCGCGTTGCTGTCAGGATGCTGATTGGCACGTCACCGTCGGCATGTGCAAAAATAGTTCTGCCCCCTCCTGTGCTGCTCGTCCGCGCTGTGGTTGTAGATGGTCGCGACGTTGGTGTCGAAGCTGCTGGTCCTGAGGGCTGAGTTCCTGATGGTTTGGGGAGGGAAGAAAAATGAATTCGTCTCGCTCTGAATTTTGGAAGACATTGGTATTCTCGGGGAGGGGCGTTTTTGCACCACCACCGGGCAGAGAGGGAAAAGGGAAGGGAGGAAGGGGGAGAAATGAACCCGGATACCAATTAAAATTGTAATTCCACAAAAATTTTCAAAACTGTCCGGGCCGGTATGGGACCGCACCCGCTTCACTCGTTGTTTGGGCCTTTGGCGTCCCATTCGCGCATAGATTGGCTCACAGATACCTTCACCTCGAGGCCCCGGTTGTGGTGCTCGATCTCTCCGTTCACGATGGTGGCCGCAAATTTCCCCAGAACCTTAACCGAGAGCGTGTCCCTCATGATATATCCCCGAGCGGGATGCCCAGGAGGCGGTTGAGGTGGTGTTTGGTAAAGCCGAGTTGCTTCATGTCCCGCCGCTCCGTCTTCGTGAGGTTGTCGGTGAATCGTAGTAGGTCGTCTGGTTGTCCTCCTGGTGCTTGGGGCGGGCTCTCGCGTATCATTTTGTGGAAGCCGTTTTCCCCAGCCAACGTGAAGAACTCAATGTATCCGACGCTGGTGGGGTCCGTCACGCAGAAAATGTGATGCACTCGGTCCTGGTAGTTATTGTCCTTCGTATGCTTGGTGAGGTAGTCGACGACTGTGGTCTCGTTGGTGTCGGATTGGAAGCCGTGTGCGACCAGTTGCAAGTTCCTGTCGTTGCCGCTTGGCTTGATCTTCATGCTCTCGATAGTCTGCTGTAGTTGCTGAACCTGTTGAGCTGTGGCATCTGTCTTTGCGTGGAATGCCTTGATCTCTTTCGAGGTGCCGTCAACCTGCTTTTGGACATTTGCGATCTTCTCATCAGTCTTTTTATCGTATTTCGTCAACCTGTCGTCCATGATGCTAGCCATGCGGTTGGACATGGCGTCGACGAGGGCCTGATCCCGGGGATTCAGTTCAGGCTCCTGGTCTTCAGCTGGCCCTTCTCCTTCCCTGGCTTTCTTGCGCTCTGGGGTGGAGCCGGTGCTGAACATCGCCTTCCGGATCCCGTCCATCGGAGTGTGGAGAATGGGGGATTGTGGCGTGACAGCGTGATCGGGAATTCAAGGGGGTACAGCTTGTTCGGGAATTGAAGGGGGTACAGCTTGGGCCGAGGAGGAGGAGGAGGAGGAGGAGGAGAAGGAGGAGGACAGGAAGGAGGAGGAGGAGGAGGACAGGAAGGAGGAGGAGGGAGGAGGAGGAGGAGGAGGAGGAGGAGGAGGAGGAGGAGGAGGAGGAGGAGGAGGAGGAGGAGGAGGAGGAGGAACGCCCCCTGCCACCCTCTAGCCCCTTCCCGCCCTCTCCCCCGCGCCCCCCCGCGTCTCCCGGCGCGCCTCCTCGTCGAACGCCTTCTTCTCCGCCCACGTGTCGTGCCGCCACAGCTCCGTCCTCGCCGGCGGGGCACGGAGCGGGTGCCCGGCCACGAGAACCCCCCCACGAGAAGCCCATGATGGGCCTGTCTTCCACCACCACTACCATAAGTTGGGGGGGGGAGGGGGTCCTCCTCCCCCTCTTCTTCTTCCTCATCCTCCTCCTCCACCTCCTCCCCCCTTCTATCTTATGGTGGTGGTGGTGGTGGAAAACAGGCCCATCAGCCCAGCCCCGAGACCCCAGGACGTCCACTGACTTCTTGGTGTGGGAGCGTCGCGCTCTCGGTGGCAGAGCCGTGGGAACCCGAGAAACCCAGGACGCCCTGGAGGCAAGCCTTATGTCGGGCGTGTCCCCCTACAGGGGGATTCTCGACGAAAAATACAAAATACCCCAAAAATACCCCAAAAAGGTAAAAACATACTCAAAAAATAGTCCCCAGACTATTTTTAGACAATTTCTTGCTTATTTTTTGGGTATTTTTAATTTTGCGTCGAAAATCCTCCTGTAGGGGGGACAGGCCCGACTTGAGGCAAGCAGGGTGCTTCTTGGCATGCCCCCCCCCCTGTATGGGCCTCTCCCTCCGGGGCGCGCCACGTGCGGGGAGGAGGGCACGGAGGTGGCGTCCACCCCCCCCCGCTGGAGGCGGAGGGGCAGGGAAGGGAGGACGAGCGTGAAGGGGCCCTGGGACTCGCAGAGAAGTACACACACGCACACAGATACATGGACTCCAGATCCTTTCTCATATCTTCTGGGTTTTCGTCTTCCCCCCCCACTTCCCACGTTTTCCCATCTTCCGGGGGGTCGACGATGAACTGTGTTTGTGTGTGTTTTTCTCCCCTCGTGAGAGTGGGGAGGTCGGCGGCGAGCGACGTGGAAACGAGGAAGAAAATGCCTTCTTGGGAGGCTCGGAAGTCCCCCAGCCGTCTGAAAGGTTTTCTCAGGGCCTTCCCCGAAGGCACAAAAGACTTCTCAGAAGGCGCGGGGGCATCCGAAAAGTCCCGCCGCCTTCGGAGAAGGCCTTTCCTTCTCACTTCCCCCTCTCGCTCGCCGCCGAAACAGGCGTGGGTGAGGAGGGGGGGGAGGAGTAGGGGAAGGACGAGGAGTGGAATCACTGTCAAAATCTGGACGGGCTCCGTGGGTGCTGGCCACTGCGGCGCTGAGGCCAATGTGGGTTTCTTTCGATTGTCGTTTTGGGAGGTTTTGACAGCGGGGGCGTTGGGGCACCGCGTTCCCCACCTGGCGCCAATGTTATTCTCCAACGCTGCCGTTTGATGCGGTAAACTTACACGCGGCACCGCTTATGTATACACATGGCCAACTTACTTTGTGGGACCACTCCACAAATACGGTGTTCCACCAACCAGCGCGCGGGGGATCGGCGGAAACGCTGTCCTACACCGCCTGTTCCTGAACACGTTGCTCAGGGTCACCCGGTCGGCCGCGTCCGCGGCCGAAGCGGAAATAGGTAGGCACTACGCGGCAGCGTGCGTCTTCTGATGACTTGACTAGTACGAGTGACCTGTCGCCAACGAGTGATCTTACAGAGCGGCATCATATGTGCCGTCTCAACCCTACAATAGGAGTGAGGTTTCGCACCGCCACCCGCTCCCGCTTCGGTCGCCCCTAGGATCGCCCCTATGGTACCACCGTGACTTGAGGCAACGACTCGGTGACGAGTGGGAACATTGTAAACATTTTCTCTGTGTGTGATTGCTCGACGGGCCCCGTGGGTGCCATCCGCTGCGGCGCTCAGGCTGTTGCGGGTTTTCTGTCGATTCTCGCTTTGGGCGTGGGCGGAGGAAGCGACCACATCGGTGTTTTCGTTCCAGACGCGATCTTCTGGACCCCCGGCGCCGCGGGGCGCCCCGCCGCCTCCAAAGGGCAACGTCTTCGCCGAGGCCGCCGAGGGCCCGGGCGAAGAAATGGCGGAAAAACGACTAGGTGCCGACCCGCGCCAGCAGCCGCGGCAACCAGCTTCCGGCGCAGCCGCCGCCGAAGGCCAAGCGCCGCCATCCCCGGCCCGCCCAGCTCCCACAGGCCGCGCGGCGAGCCGGCCGTCGCCTGCCAAAACAGCGCGCAAAGTTCGCGTGGATCCGCGGGCCTCGTGCTTGCTCGGGCCGACTGCAGCGGCGAGGGCGACTACGTCTTCGTCTGCGCGGCCGCGGCCCTCCGCGAGGAACAGATTCACCCGCCTGAGCTCCAGGCTGGCGCGCTGAGGCTGGCGCGCTGAGGCCTGGAGCCCCCAAGCAAGCTGCATTGCGCTATTGTCCTCGGGTCCCCGCCGCAAGGCGCAATTCTACGACGTCGACTCCAAGAAGGGCGACATCGCCACTGATATTGCGGTCGACGGCGCGCCTGCGACGTCGAACTGGTGCGCGCCGCCGCCCGCGCGACCGAGCGCTCGATCCGCGTCTGGCGACGGTGGGGTTCCGAGCGGTCCTTGCGCGCCCCCCAAAGAAAATGGGCTCCAACTTAAAGGGGGCCATCTGGCTCACCCTCGAAGGACAGAGCTACCAACTCCTACTCCCCGCCAGCCTGGCCCCGGCTGCCACCGCGGCGGCCTGGGAGCAGTGCGCGCCGCCGTGCCCGACGAGATTCGCGGGCGGTGGCCGCGCTCCAAGCGAGGGCTCCCGCGGCCTCCGCAGCTGCCTCGGCGCCCGGTCCAGCCCGGCCCAGATCATGCGCACCGGCGCCGCTCGCCACGCTCTCGGCCTGAAACCGCTCCAGCGTCCGCCAAGGCGCGGGTCGCCCTCGGCCTCGACTCGGCCTCCGTCGTCGCGGACGACGACGCCGACTTCCAGCCGCCTCCGGGCGCCTTCGGCTCCTCGGCAGGGCCCGGCGCCCCGCCTGCCTTCTACGCGCGCTCCCCCTGCGCTTGGAGACCTCTTTGCGCTGTCGGCAATCGCCGGCGGGCGACGGAGATCAAGTGGCACTTCGGGGCGCGCCGTGGCATTGGGCCCCCGGCGTGCGCTGCAGAGCAGCGCGCCAGCGCTCATCCTGAGAACGGCCAGGCTTTACGGATGCGTCGCTGCCTGCAACGCGCCGCCAAGCGCAGCCGGTGGCGCGATCAGCAGCCCGCCCACTGGCATGCCTGCGTCTGCGACCTCGACGAGGCGCGGGGCTCCACGAAGAGCACCGTCAACGGTGCCACCGTGCGCGCGTGCGCCTGCTCCCGCTGCGGCGTCGCGCGCGCCGACCGGGCTCGGTGGGCCCCGTGCGCCAAGCGGGCCATTCAAAATACCTCGGCGAAGAAATCCTCCTGCGCCTCATCGGTCGTCGCCGGACCGACCTGTCTGCCGCGGGGGGGCGCGGGCCAACGTCGAGCGTGAGGGCGCCGTGGCGGCCTCGCGCAGGCGCCGGCGATCTGGCCCCGACTGCCGCCAAGAAGAGCGAGAGAGCAACCGGGTCCGCCACTTCCGCCGCCGCGCTCGCGACGTCAAGTGCCGCGAGACATATTGGGCGGCGCGCTTCGCTTAGATCGACGCCGACAGGCGGACGGCTGCCTCCGGGCGCCAGCTGGCCGCGGCCGAGTGGCGGGGCCCTCTCCGGGGGAAAGCGGCGCCCGCTGGCGCCCGCGCGCCCCCGCCGCCGCTGCCCCTTCCCCGGGGGGGCTGGCCGCCGCCGCCGACCCCGCTCCAGCGCTCGAGATCGCCGTCGTCAGAGTCGCGGCGCCCGCGCGTGACCGAGCCCCAAGCATTGGGCCAGACAGATTTCCAGCTGGCCCTCCTGCAGAAGATGGGACGCGATTGGCTTTGCCCCGCTGGGCATTCACGCTCGCCAGGGCGCGGGTATGGAGCGTCGCGCGCAGCCCGCCGCCGCCCGGCAACCGCCCGCAGACAGCGACGAGAGGCGGCGCCGCCATCATCTGGCGCCCCTCTCTCGGGAATGCCACTGCCTTCCGCCCGCGACCAGGGCCTGGGTCGCCGTGTTCTGGGCCTTCGGGCCTGCGCGCTGTGTGCTCTGATTCAGGTGCCCGACTGCCTCTGGATGGCTCGCGCTCGAGCCTATCTGGAATCGACGGCCACCTGCAACCACTGGCCATCGACGGCTACAACTGGAAGCCCCCCTAATGCGCCACCTTCGGCGTTGGCTGGGTGAGCGCGCCGGCCAGCGCCGCGACCGCGGCGGCGACGGCGCCCGCCCCGGCGTGCCATGACCGACGCCAATTGCCTGGGGCCCCCCGACGGTCTCCGACTGCGCCGCGCTGCGCCGCGACCCCGTCGACGGCCCACTCGCGCAGCAGCGTGCTCCCGCCTCGGGTGCGCCCCCGACGACGTCGAGCAGATTCAGCGCGAAGTCAAATATCCCGCCCGCCCGCCGGCTCCAGCCCGACCGACCGCGGGGCGAAGTGGCGGCGCGCGCGGGCAGAGCAAATCCTCGAGGAGGAGGGTGCCCGACGCGGCCGATTTATGATCGCGCGCCCAAGGGGGCGGTCGAAAGACGCTCTCCACGAGATGCCGTCGACCGCCGCGCCCCCGTCCAACCGACCTCCGCCGGCGCCAACTGCGACTCCCGCGCCATTTTGCCAAGGCGTTCCTGCGCGATCCGCGCCCGAAATACCTCTCGCAACGGCGCTGGGGCAGCCGCGCCCGCCCGGGGCGAGGGCGGCCGCGCTCGGGTCGTCGACGGCAATGTCACTTATGGCGACGCCATCGAGTCGCGTCGAGGATCAACCCCTGCAAGCGTCTGGCCGCCAAAAACGCAATCGCCCGCGGGCGTTCCAAATTTGCAAAATGGTCCGCGTCGCTCTTGGCCGCCGCGCTTCTGTTCCCGGGCGCCCGTTTGACGGCGCACCAGGGCGTCGACGCCTTCGGGCGGGCGCGGCTGCGGCAATGGGGCCGCCCGACCGCGACGCCGACGCCCGCCTTCAGCGCGGCGCTCCTAGGCGGCAAACGTCACCTTTCCACGATCCGACTAAGCAGCCGACTGGCTACCGACCAACTGCGTCTGGGGAGAAACCTTGCGTCGCCGACAAGGGGCGGCGGGCTTTGACGGATGGGCGGGCGTGGAGCTTCGCCTCGTCGCCAGGCTGGCCCCAGATCATGCGCGAGCTCTGCGCCGCGCGGCGCAGCGCGCCCCCGACATCGCCGCCTCTGGCATCGACGATTCCGCGGCCGTGCAGCTCTTCAGTTGGAAAATCGTGGGCGTCCCGAAAAACGAGGGCGACTCCATGTCCGTCGCCGTGGGCTACTGCGCCCTGCGACCCTGGCTGTCAGCCCTTGCGCGGGCAGCCCCCGAGTCGCCAGCTATCTGGTGGTCTTGCTGACGTGCCGCCAGCGTCGCCGGCGGGGTCTCGTCGCGGCGCCGCTCCTGCGCTCTCGGAGGGGCGGGCCCGGAACGCGACCTGTCTAATGCTCGCGGCAACGTCGACTTCGGCGTCGCGGAGGGCGCCTTGGAACGGCAGGGCACGCCGCCGCGCGTCGCTTCATGGCGCGCGGCGGCGCGGCGCGCCCCGAGGTCCCGCGCGACGGGGGGCGAGCTCGGCCAGCCTATCCGGCCGAAGCGCGGCCCCCGCAGGGAGATAGCCTCGCCCCCAATGTTGGGATCGGCGCCCTCGCTCGGAGGGCTCGACCGCGGCCTCGTGGCCATCGGCGAAGCCGCCCCCGGCTTCGCTGAGGGCGCCAACGAGCGGCAGACCTGGGACGTCGCCGACGACCCGCCCAAACGCATCGAGCACCTCGGTCTCGCCACCGCGCCTGCGGATTCGTCTGCGCCCATCCTGCCGTGAAATGGTTGGGCAAATATCGAGAACGGCATTGGCATCATGCGCGGCCTCCTGGGCAGTTTCGCGGTGTGAGCGATTGTCGCCATCGCCTACATCCGACTACACTGGACCTGGGCAGCGCCGCTGCTGACTCTTTTCCCAGTGGAATGCGCCGGGAGTTTTTTCCGCGCCTTTCTCAATGCACGCAACAGTTGGTCTTTCGGCTGCTTCTGGGCGCTCCACATCAATTTGCATCCGCAGTGCTCGCACGTCCTCCAGAGCCTCCACGCCGGCTCCATAGCCAAGCTGGTCTGGAACGACTTTGTAAAAAGCGCCTCTGCGGCGCGCGCCAAGTCCATTGGTTCGAAGTTTATTGCGTACGGCGCCGACACCTGCCCCCCAACCGACGACCACCGCGTTCAGCTGGTACATCCACGCGCCGGCAGTGCACTCACCCGTTCAACTACTGCAAACACCCCCGAGCGTCTTTGTGGCACTTGTGGTATGCATGTTATGAGTTTCAAGGCGACCGCACTTTTTGGAAAGGGAGCAGCTCTTCCTCCCATGTAATTCCTGGGCGTCGCAGCCCCGACTGACGAGCAAATCAGGATGGATCACGTCTCAGGCGGGTCCGACGACCACGACGCGCTCGAGGTACTTGGCGGCCACGTGCGCGCTGGCGCTCCGCATGCTCCGTCGGGGACTTCGTGTTGAAGCAGGCCTCCTCCACCCACTCGATATTGAGTGGTAGCCTGAGAACCTTCCAGTGGGACCACTCCAGAAGTAGGGTGTTTCACCAACCAACTTTCGGATCTGAGGAAGCGAATGCATGGACGACTGCCCTTGCACACAACCGCCCTGGCCCAGCTGAGGCCAAGTGGGTGGAGCACGAACACTGGCATCGGAACCACGGGCATACCAACAAGTTGTGAGAGACGGGGAGGAGGACGATGAAAGCTTAGCAGTCGATGGCGACGTGTGTTGGGAGTGTCGCCGCCCACTGCCGCTCTACTGCCGCTTGGGCGTAGATCAGGTGAGCCTGTCTTGGGCCGCTCGAAGCAGTTGCCCCAGTCCGAAGCGGGCTGCTGTCTGTGTCGTCGCCTGTGCTGTTGGCGCTGAGGGTCGCTGTCTTGCGCTTCGCCGTCCGCGCCGTCGGCAGCGCGACTTTGCCGGCTGCTGCGGGGGTCTGCTTGGCTTGGCGGACGGTGCGCCGCCGTGGCCTCCTGCTAATTACTCGTGCGAAGCATGCGTCGCTGTGTCCACCGTAGGTGTTGTGAGGGTGGGGCACAAGCCGAGGACAAGGAGGGTGAGCGAAAAGGGGAAGGAGGAGGACGAGGAGGGCGGGAAGGTCGAGTGTGAGGTGGGGGGGACGAGGAGGGAAAGGGTGTGTGTGGAGGAAACGTGGAGGGGAAGGTGTAAGGAGGGGGGACGGGCAAGAGAGCTCCACTCTTCCCCCCCCTCCTGTCCCTGTCCCTTTTCACTGCCCTTCTTCCGCTCTCCTCCCCATCTCCCCCCCTCCTCCTGTACTATCCCTCTTGCATCCTCTCCGCCCAGGTCCTCATGGGATTCTTCGGGCACCCGGACGGCATCCGCATGAAGCACCCAGGCTCGGTAGGGATCCTCAGGGTGCTGTTCGTCGCCTTGGCAGGATAGGTGAGGGAGACGAACGACGAAGCAAAATAACCTAGATGAAAGCAAGGATGAGCAAACGGATGGTAAAGCAGAGGCGAACTCAAAGGGGGAAGGGGAATGAAGAAGGATGGTGACGATGATGCTGCTGATGATGATGGTGATCAGGCTCTACGACTGCGTTACTAAACGTTTGGGACAAGTCTGGCACGGTGCGGATGTGAATCCTCAGGAGATGTTGCGACCAAACATAATGTCATAATCGCTGTGGCCGTCACCGTCAACGCAATTCAAATGCACGACAACATCAATGCAAACACCGTGTAATCCAACACGACGAACTACAACACGATGGAATTCGACGCAATGCCAAATCATTGCCAAACCAATGCGTCGCGAATCCACTTCGGTGCGCCACAACGCAATACAATATAAAAACGATGCGATGGCAACGCTAAAGCAATGCCACGCAAACGAAATGCGGAATCAATGTGTACGCATGGTGTGATACCGCGCTGCTAAGTGTTACTTCGTATACTGCTTAATGACCATGCTGTCACGGTGCGCACGTGAATTGAGGTGCGCGGAGTGAACGCGTCCTCAAGCCACATTGCGACGAAGCCCTGAACGTAAAAGCCCGCTCGCCGTCGTAATACGCAAGCGCGGAAAAACAAGGTTTTAGAGGACGTGGAGTTCTTTATTCCTGCTGAAAGAACAAACGCGGTCAGTGCACCCTGACGGCGGAATACGTTTGCACATTTACAAAAATGGGCGGATCAAATACTCACAAGGCAGTGGACATATAGCAACTAAGGGAGGAGAGAGCGCACCCGCAGGGCCCGAGCAATAAAAAAAAAAGCAAAAAAAAGGGGGAGGGGGGGGGGGCCCCCCTAAGCTACCCCCCTCACTTGAGCAGCCATTGGCGAAAGCACCACCCCCCCTCCCCCCTTTTTTAGCAAGGGGGGTGGGGCAAGGGGGGGGGGGGGCTTACAGCTACCCCCCCCTCCCCCCTTGGGCCCCTCCCCGGAAGCACCCCCCCCCCTCCCCCCCTTTCCCAAGGGGGGGGTGCTTAAGCCACCCCCCCCTCCCTTGGCGCCGCCCTGCTGGAAGCTACCTCCCCCCCTCCCCCCCTTTCGTGCAAAGGGGGAGGGGGGCTTGGAAGCTACCCACCCCCCACCCCCCTTTGGCCGCCCCGGAAGCTACCCCCCCCTACCCCCGGGGGGGTGCTTAAGCTACCGCCCCCCTCCCTTGGAGCCGCCCTGCTGGAAGCTCCCACCCCCCTCCCCCCCTTTGTGCCAAAGGGGGGGGGGGCTTGGAAGCTTGCCCCCCCCCCTTGCCCCCTTTGGCCGCCCAGCCCCCGGAGCCTCCGCCCTCCCTTTCGCCGACGATCCAAAATGAACAATCCACGATCGAGGATGGACGATCGACGATCAACGATCGACGATCGAAATTCCCAATCGAATCGCTTGCAATCGATTGCACTCCATTCCACTGCAATCCCCCTCCCCACCTCCCTCCGCTCCCTCCCCTCCCTCCACACCCTTCGTTCCATCTCCTCCCTCCCCTCCCTCTCCTCCCCTCCCTCCCTTCCGTCCTGTCCCTTCCCTGCAATCCAATCGATTGAATCGATTGCAATTCAACCGATTGCAATCCAATCGATTGCAATCCAATGGATTGCAATCGAATCGTTTGCAATCCAATGGATTGCAATCGATTGCAACGCAAGTGTATCATTCAACTCGTCCCGTGCCAACGCCCGGGAACGAAAAATTACCCTGGCGACGTACCCAACCCCTGCGCAAACGCGGGGCGCAAATAGTTTAGGACACTTTATAAGGGGGGCGATGACGGAGCGAGGGTTACATATGTCTGCAGACGGGATTCGGGAGACTCGCAGGAAACTGGCTTCAGGACAAGGACTAGATAAAGCTGATTAGTTGCAATCCCTGAGCAACCCTAGCCACTTCGAAAGCGGGGATCTCAGATCGCAGCCCCCAGGGATGGCGAGGTCTAATTTGGGTCCACGCGTGGCGTCACTGTGCTGGGCCCCCCAGCAGGCCTCGAACGTGGCGACAGTTTCACAGATCGCTGCCCCCCAGCGATGGCGAGGTCTAATTTGGGTCCGCGCGTGGCGTCACTGTGCTGGGCCCCCCAGCAGGCCTCGAAAGTGGCGACAGTTTCACAGATCGCAGCCCCCCAGGGATGGCGAGGTCTAATTTGGGTCCGCGCGTGGCGTCACTGTGCTGGGCCCCCCAGCAGGCCTCGAAAGTGGCGACAGTTTCACAGATCGCAGCCCCCCAGGGATGGCGAGGTCTAATTTGGGTCCGCCCGTGGCGTCACTGTGCTGGGCCCCCCAGCAGGCCTCGAAAGTGGCGACAGTTTCACAGATCGCAGCCCCCCAGGGATGGCGAGGTCTAATTTGGGTCCGCCCGTGGCGTCACTGTGCTGGGCCCCCCAGCAGGCCTCGAAAGTGGCGACAGTTTCACAGATCGCAGCCCCCCAGGGATGGCGAGGTCTAATTTGGGTCCGCGCGTGGCGTCACTGTGCTGGGCCCCCCAGCAGGCCTCGAAAGTGGCGACAGTTTCACAGATCGCAGCCCCCCAGGGATGGCGAGGTCTAATTTGGGTCCGCCCGTGGCGTCACTGTGCTGGGCCCCCCAGCAGCCTCGAAAGTGGCGACAGTTTCACAGATCGCAACCCCCCAGGGATGGCGAGGTCTAATTTGGGTCCGCCGTGGCGTCACTGTGCTGGGCCCCCCAGCAGGCCTCGAAAGTGGCGACAGTTTCACAGATCGCAGCCCCACAGGGATGGCGAGGTCTAATTTGGGTCCGCCCGTGGCGTCACTGTGCTGGGCCCCCCAGCAGGCCTCGAAAGTGGCGACAGTTTCACAGATCGCAGCCCCCCAGGGATGGCGAGGTCTAATTTGGGTCCGCCCGTGGCGTCACTGTGCTGGGCACCCCGGCAAGCCTCGAAAGTGGCGACAGTTTTACAGATCGCAGCCCCCCGCAAGCAAGACAGGAGGAGGCAAGGCGGAGACGGGACGGGAAGGAGGAAGTGGAGACCACACTGCTCTATTCAAAACGAATACCCAACCAAGGAGGGTTGGGGAAAATACCATTCCCTCCCGAAAGTTGCACGAAGTGTAATTCGGAGAACGCCTGCCCGTCGGGTTTGGCAGTGTTCGTGTAAGACGGCGGCCAGCTGGGGGAGGAGGAGGCGGAGGATGGGGGAGGCGGAGGGGGAGGAGGAGGAGGAGGAGGATGGCACGGACCCAGATAGAAGAGCGCAAAAAAACCGAGAGTTCGGCGACGGACTGGTGGGCGGTGGGAAATAATTGGGGAGGAGAGGAGCGAGGAGGAGGAGGAGGAGGAGGAGGAGGAGGAGGAGAGGGTAGGAGGAGGAAGGACGGAAGGAGGGAAGGAAAACGGAGGAGAGGAGGATCACGAGGAGGAGGAGGAGGAGGAGGAGGAAGAGGAGAGGATTGATGATGATGATTGATGAGGAGGAGGAGGAGGAGGAGGAAGAGGAGGAGGAGGGAAATTATCAGCCACAAGCAACCCCCCTTAACAGCCATGTGTAGGACCTGGCCGGGGCAGCCGGCCGCCCTCCCCTCCTGCTCGTCCTCCTCCTCCTCCTCCTCCTGCTCGTCCTCGTGCTCATCCTGCTCGTCCTCTTTCTCCTGCTCCTCCTCTTCCTCCTCCTCCTCCTCCTCCTCCTCCTCCTCATTTTTCTCCTGCTCCTCCTCTTCCTCCTCCTCCTCCTCCTCTTCCTCCTGCTCGTCCTCGTTCTCGTCCTCCTCGTCTTGCTCGTCCTCCTCCTCCTGGTGCTCTCTCCTCCTCCTCCTCCTCCTCCTCCTCCTCCTGGTGGTCCTTCGTTTCTCCTTATCGGGTGCTCTCCCCCCAGCCTCCTCCTCGTCCTCCTCGTCCTCCTCCTCCTCTTCCTCCTCCTCCTCCTCCTCCTCCTCCTCCTCCTCCTCCTCCTCCTCCTGGTAGTCCTCCCCCTCCCCTCCTCCTCCTCCTCCTCCTCTTCCTGGTCGCCCTCGTTCTCGTCCTCCTCGTCTTGCTCGTCCTCCTCCTCCTGGTGTTCTCTCCTCCTCCTCCTCCTCCTCCTCCTCCTCCTCCTCCTCCTGGTGGTCCTCGTTCTCCTCCTCCTGGTACTCTCCCCCCCCCTCCTCCTCCTCCTCCTCGTCCTCGTCCTCCTCCTCCTCCTCCTCCTCTTCCTCCTCCTCCTCCTCCTCCTCCTCCTCCTCCTCCTCCTCCTCCTGGTACTCCTCCCCCTCCCCTCCTCCTCCTCCTCCTCGTCCTGGTCGTCCTCCTCCTCCTGGTCGTCCTCCTCCTCCTGCTCGTCCTCCTCCTCCTCCTGCTCGTCCTTCTTCTCCTGCTCCTCCTGCTCCTCGTCCTGCTCCTGCTCGTCCTCGTCCTCCTGGTCTTGCTCGTCCTCCTCCTCGTCGTGCTCTTGCCCCTGCTGAAAATGTGGCCCAGGAATGGGAGTTCTGGAAGTCGAAGAGCACGAAGTTGCCTACAGTTGGCTACGGGCATTCAAAATCTGGCCCGGGAATGGAGTTCTGGGAACTCGAAGACCACGAAGTGGCCTAGAGTTGGCTCCGGGCATTCAAAATGTGGCCCGGGAATGGAGTTCTGGGAACTCGAAGAGCACGAAGTGGCCTACAATTGGCTCCGGGCATTCAAAATGTGGCCCGGAATGGAGTTCTGGGGACTCGAAGACCACGAAGTGGCCTACAGTTGGCTCCGGGCATTCAAAATGTGGCCCGGGAATGGAGTTCTGGGAAGTCGAAGAGCACGAAGTGGCCTACAGTTGGCTCCGGGCATTCAGAATGTGGCCCGGGAATGGAGTTCTGGGAAGTCGAAGAGCACGAAGTGTGTGACTGTTGGCTTAAAATGAGTTCTGCGGCACCCTGTCCGGCACCCGCCCAGACCCCCCTGTGGAGTGATCTGTGAGCTCTTTTGAGACCACTAGAAACCTATCAGTCTACGCTGTTAGGTAAAATGGAGGAGGAGGAAGAGAAAACCCAGGAGGAGGAGGAACGGAACGGAAGGACCCGCGGGGGAGTACGATGATGATGATGATGATGATGATGATGATGATGATGATGATGATGATGATGATGATGATGATGATGAGGCTGATGATGATGATGCTGATGCTGATGATGATGATGATGATGACTATGAGGAGGATGAGGAGGATGAGGAGGACGAGGAAGAGGAGGAGGCAAAAGGAAGAAGAGGAGGAGAGAGAGGGGCGGGAATAAATGGAGGCGAAAGGGAGGGCGATGGCTCCGGGAGCTGGGCGGCCAAAGGGGGGAAGGGGGGGGGGCTTCAAGCCCCCCCCCCCTTTGCACCAAGGGAGGGAGGGGGGGGGGAGGCTTCCAAAGCCCCCCACCCCCTTTCAAAGGGGGGGGTTGGCTCACCCAGCTCCATTAAAACAGAAGGAAGGTGGGGTAGCTTGGAAAGCCCCCCCCCTTTCCGGCCCGAAAAAGGAGTGGGGGGGGTGGTAGCTTCCGAAGCCCCCCCCCCCCTTTCAAAGGGGGGGGGGGTGGCTCACCCCGGGTCAATTAAAGGGAGGGAGGGGGGGGTAGCTTGGAAGCCCCCCCCCTTTCCGAACCACGAAAAGGGGGGGAGGGGGGGGGGCTTCTGAGGCCCCCCCCCCTTTAGCAAGGAAGGGTGGAGGGGGGTAGCTTCAAGCTGGGGCCCCCCTTTGAGTCTATCGGGCCCCACGCGCGCGCTCTATCTAAAGGAGCCTGGGTGTGGGGCGGAAATCTACTCAACCAAATCCCACGTTGCAAGGCTCACGGGAGAAGGCAATTCCCTCGTGTAGGAAGGGCGAGGAGAGGAAGGCCGAGAGGGGGAATGAGGGGAGAGGGAGGACGAGAGTAAAGAAGAAAACCGCCACAAACATAAACATGTGGCGCTCCGCGCGGATTTCTTGCATCTGCGCTGGAGCTGCTCCCCGCGCGCCAGGGGCGGCGCCAGAGGCGCCGCTCGGGGGGGCCCAGGCGCGGACCCAGGAAATCCGCGCGGAGCGCCAAAAGTTCATGTTTATGGCGCGGAGCACCAACAGTTTCTTCAAGGGGCCCAAGGACACACAAATAAATACACACAAATAAAATAATGCCCCATATTTTCCCATATTTTCTGGGTTTTTGTCTTCCCCCCCAATTCCCATATTTTCCCATATTTTCTTGGGAGCCGACGATGAATTGTGTCTGTGTGTTTCTTTCCCTCCTGATTTATGTTTCTGGCGTTTCCTCTTCTCAGGGGGATGAAAGGGGGAGAGGGGGGGGGGCGAGAAGAAAGCGTGCGGGAGAGGCGGGTGCACGGGGACGGCCCCGCGCGCACAGGCATGGTCCAAAGCCTTGGGGGCGCGCACTGCAGCGGGAGGGCGGGGAAGGGAGGGCCGAGAAAGGGGGGGATGAGGGGAGAGGGCCAGCGACGATGAGCGCAGCAGGGCACGCAAAGGGCCGCCGAGGGAACCCCTATTACCCAAGAGGGCGGCCACCCGCATGCACCCCCGGCTGGGAGGGGACCTGTGAAGGGGCCCTGGGACACACAAATAAATACACACAAATAAAAAGATTCCCCATCGTTTCCCCTATTTGCAGGGCTTCTGCCTTCCCCCCGCTTCCCATGCTTTCCCATATTGTTCGGGGGAATCGACGATGAATTGTGTCTCTGTGTGTTTTTTTCCCCTCCTGAACCTGGGCGGGCGGGTGAATGGACGAGAAGAAGACGTGCGGGAGAGGCCCGCAAGAGGAGCGGCAACCTCGGGGCAGAGCGCGCCGCCGGCGCCCAGCGCCGACGACGCTGGTGACGGCAGAGCCGCGGCGACGCGCCCCCCTCGTCGTCGTCGTCGTCGTCGTCGTCGTCGTCGTCGTCGTCGTCGGATGAGGAGCGAGGAGGAGAAGGATGAAGAGGAGGAGGAGGAGGAGGAGGAGGAGGAGGAGGATCGAGGAGGAGGTGGAAGGAGGATAGATGAGGAGGAGGAGGACCAGTGTAAACCTAAGATGCATCAGCGATGTTGCAGTTGTCCCCCCTCCAGAGTCCATCTCACAAATCGCTGGAAGTAATTATTTTCATGGCGGGCCGTGCCTCATTGGAAGGCAACTGTCTGAGAGTCCTCAGTCGTGCCACAACACAGTTCTTGGCGCCCTTAAAGCAGCGAATCAACGTGACTGTCGCGTCCTGACAATCCGGAATTTCGCCAGGCGAAACGCCCAGTCCGCCCTACAGACACGCCTTGGGGTGCGACGGGGAGGAATTATTCATAAATGGATGAAGGAGGAGGACCAGTGTAAACCTTATACGCATTAGCGATGTGGCAATCAACTCCGCCCATCAAGTTCCCTCTTGGTACGTCCCTACAAGATTTTCTTTTCATAGCAGGACGTGCCCCCCATACCTCTGTTGGGTCCCGAGGCCGTTTCAAGCCCCCCAACCAGCTCTCGCGCCGCCCCCCCGGAGGAGGAGGAGGAGGAGGAGGAGGAGGAGGAGGAGGAGGAGGAGGAGGAGGAGGAGGAGGAGGAGGAGCAGGAGCAGGAGCATGAGGAGGAGAAGGAGGAGGAGGAGGATCGAGGAGGAGTGTCTCTGTGTGATTCTGCCCTCCTGGCGAACCTCCCCTCGGCACAGCGAGCCCCCTCGGCACGGCGGGGACCCGCGCGCTCGGGCCCCCACCCTGCGGGTGCGGCGCCCCGTAAGCGCACGCAATGCGCCAACTCGGGCAGGCACGCGCCCATGATGAAGATGGTGAAGATGGTGAAGATGAAGATGAAGAAGATGATGACGAAGATGAAGATGAAGAAGATGATGATGATGGTGATGATGATGATGATGCTGATGATGATGGTGATGCACGATGATGCCCGGTTATGCGTGATGATGATGCTGATGCTGATGAGGATGAGGATGCTGCTGCTGATGATGCTGCTGCTGCTGAGGAGGAGGAGGAGGAGGAGGAGGAGGAGGAGGAGGAGGAGGAGGAGGAGAGGAGTGCAAAAGAAAAGGATCGAGGAGCAAGGAGGATGAAGGAAGGAGGAGAGAGGAGGAGGGAGGAGGAGGAGGAGGATGGAGGAGGAGGAGTCATGAGGAGGACGGAGTGAGGCGGGCGGAGGAGGAGGAGGAGGAGGAGGAGGAGAAGAGGATCGAAAAGGGAGTAGGAGGTGGAGGAGGAAGACGGAGAAGGGCAGGAGGATCGAGGCTGGCGACGGGGGGGATGCCCGGCGCCTCGGCGGGTGCGGCCTCCGCCGCGGCCGGAGCCTCCTCGGCCACCGCGGCGGCGGGCTTCGGCGCCTCGGCGGCGGGCTTCCTCGCGAGCCAGCAGGCTGCTCGTCGTCGTCGTCCTCGCCCTCGGCCGTTCCCTCCCCCTGCGATCTGCGATCTGACGGCTTCGGCACCACGATACTGGGCGCAGCCGACTTCCCTCCTCCTCCTCCTCCTCCTCCTCCTCCTCCTCCCCCTCCTCCTCCTCCTCCTCCTTCTCCTCCTCCTCCTCCTACTCCTCCTCCACCCTCTCCCCTCCCCGAAAGAGAGGGAGGGGGGAGGGGAATGGGGCATGGGGAGGGGGAGTGGATACGGCGTTGGAGGGAAGGGGAAGGGGGGGGGGAAGGACGAGGAAGAGGAATAGGATTGGGACAGGGGGATGGAAGGTAGGGAGGGACACACGACCCACGACGTGAGTGCGAAGGGCGGAGGGCAGCGAAACTGGATAGGGAAGGGGAAGGGCACTGGGAAGGAAGATGAAGCGGGGATGGGCTGAAATGGGTGGTGGCATGGCGTAACTGCTCACCGCCTCGGACCCGCCGCGGGGAGGACAACCCGCGTGCGGTAAGTCACGTGCTTCGGCACTGGTGCGGCACAGCCCGCCGCTGGAGGAGGTAGAAGAAGGGTGAGGCAGCGGAGGGATGAAGACGGAGAGGAGATGAGGAAGGGGCCCAAGGAGATGAGGAAGGGGCTCAAGGACACACAAATAAATACACACAAATAGCAGGATTCCCCATATTTTCGCATATTTTCAAGTTTTCTGTCTTCCCCCCCACTTTCCAAGTATTTTCCAATATTTTCCTGGGGATCGACGATTCATTGTGTCTGTGTTTTTTCCCCTCCTGAGAGGGAAGGGGACGGGATGGGAAAGGGGCGGAGGGGAGGAGTGGGCAGCGTGGGGGCGGGCGGGGCCAGGAACGAGAGTGGGATGGAGGCCAGTCGTCTTCGGCCCGGGATCCTGCTCCATGGCCACGACCAGGCGTGCTCCTGGTGGACCGAGAGGGAGCTCGCCAGGGGGGCGGACAGCACCTTAGATGATAGAGCACCTCCTCCTCCTCCTCCTCCTCCTCCTCCTCCTCCCCCTCCTCCTCCTCATCATCACCAACACCACCATCATGATCATGACCATGACCATGACCATGACCATGATGATCACCATCATCATTATCATCACCACCACCATCACCACCATCACCACTATCATCGCCATCATCACCATCATAACCATCATCACCATCACCCCATCACCATCACAACCATCATCGTCATCATCATCATCAGCAGCAGCAGCATCAGCATCAGCACCATCATCCTCATCACCATTACCATCACCACAACCATCATCATCACCATCATCACCATCCCCTCCTGCTCTTTCCCCTATCCTCCTGCCCTCCTGCGCATTCCCCTCTACCCTCCAGCGACCATATATACCTACACATTGAGATCTACATATAGATCTACACATACATACTATACATTCATAACAACATGTAAATAATCCGCGGGCCCCCTGGCGGGGCCATCAGGCTGCGAGGTTTCGCTTTGCTGCTCCCTGCGCCAGTTCCAATTTCCAGTTTCCAATGTTACAATCTTGCTGTTTGCTTCTTACTGTAAATTGTTACTGTCCGCGCGAGGGGGGGAGCTGGAAACCACCCTGGTTAGCGTCCCCGAATCGCGTGCTCTGAATCTTTAGGGGGCCGTGGGACATGTAAAAGTACATGAGATTCGCGCTCCCGACGCTATGACACCTCGTAAATTACGCTCCATTCGCGCGCCCGAGGCCAAGATCCTTTGTAATTTACTCCGTCTTCTCGCTCCTGAAGCCACGACCCCCTGCAAATTACATCACATTCTTGCCTCTGGGGCCACGATCCCCCGTCAATTACTTCACAGTCGCGCCCCCGAGGCTACGATCCCTGGTAAATTAAACCACAATCGCGCCCCCGAGGCTATGATCCCTTCTAAATTCTAGACGCTTCGCGTATCCCCACCAGCCCGTCCAGAAACGACGCCCAGGCGAGTAGAGGGTCGTCCTGAGGGGCTTTTCGGCGTCTTGGGTGCCTCGGGGGGGCCTCTTTGGGCCGTTTGGGATCCTCTTGGGGGCCTCCTGGGGGCCTCTTGGGGCCATCTTGGGGCCATCTTGGGGCCTCTTGGTGCCTCCTGGGCGCTTCTTGGGGCCATCTTGGAGGAAATCGATCAAAGAAGAGGGGAGCTTCAATTAGTGCTGCCCCCTCTGGGGGCCAAAATGGGGCCAAAACCTTAGTAAAATCAATGATTTTGGCTTCCTCGGCGAGGCCGTTTTGGACGCTCTGACCGCTCCCCGCCCCCCCTGTCCAGGTCAGTGGGGAGGGGGTAGGGGGAGGGGTAAACCCCTCCCCGAAGGGGAAGAAGGAGGGGTGGAAGAGGAAACGCTCTAAACCACCGACGCCCAGAGGGCTGGTGGGATTACACTGCATTTGTGCCCCCGAGGCTACGATCTTCCGAACATTTTACTACATTGGCGCCCCCGAGGCCACGATCCCATGTAAATTACGCCACATTCGCGCCCCCGAAGCTACGATCCCTCGTAAATCGCGCCGCATTCACGCCCCCGAGACCACGATCTCCTACAAGAGGCCCCAAGAGGCGCCCAAGACGCGCCCAAGAGGCCTCCAAGAAGTCCAAGATACCCCACGAGGCCCCAAGAGGCCCCCAAGAGGCGCCCAAACCGCCTTCAAGAGGCCCCCGAGAGGCTCCCCACGACACACCAACACATTACAAGAGGCCTCAGACCCACAACCCAGGCACGGTGGCGGGATGGGCCGAAGGCCACTAGGATCCGCCGCCCCCTGCTTGCAGGGGTGCACGGCGTGCTGGACGAGCTGTTAGGTTTTGGTTTTGGTTCTTTTTCCAAAAGAACTCCCCAGTGGGCTCCGGCAGAACCCGCCACCGTGCGCAAAAACGGCCGTTTCGCTCGGGACATCCTCAAAAAATCGCGAAGATGGCCCAAGATGGCCTCCAAGTCCGCCCGAGATGGTCCAAGACGGCCTCCAAAACGGCCCAAGAGAGTCCAAGACGGCCCAAGACGGCCCAAGAGGCCCCCCAGAGGCCTCCCAGACGGCCCAAGAGGCCTCCAAGAGGTCCTCCAGGAGAGTCCGAAGAGGGCAAAATCATTGATTTTCCTTGGTTTTTGAAGGATTTTGGCATTTGCGCCTTTTCGGCTCTCCGACGGCTCAAGACGGCCCAAGAAGCCCCCAAGATCGCCCAAGAGGCCCCCAAGAGAGCCCCCTGATGGCCCAAGTGGCCTCCAAGATGGCCCCTAGAGGGCCCCAAGACGGCCCAAGAGGCCTCCAACACGCCCAAGATGGCCTCCAAGACGCCCAAGATGGCCTCCAAGACGGCCCTGGAGCGCCCCAAGAGGGTCCCCCGTTGGCCCAGACAGGCCCCCCAAACGGCTCCCGACGGCGTCAGACGTGCCAGGAACCCACCAAGATGGCCGAAGTTGGCTCGAAGCTGGCCCAAAAGGGCCCAAGAGGCCCCCAAGAGGGCCTCCAGGAAGGCCAAAAGATGCCAAAATCACTGATTCTCCCAAGGTTTTTGATGGATTTGGGCATTTCCCTTCTTTCGGCCTTCCGACGGCCCGAGACGGCCCAAGAGCCCCCAAAGATCGCCGAAAGATCGCCCAAGAGGCCTCCAAGACGACGACGATGACCATCAAGACGCCCACGTGTTCCCCGAAGGCTTTCCAAACCGATTCGGGGAACACATGGTCCGATGGCTTGGCAGGTCTGGCCTCAACGTTCGGCCACATAGGCGCTTCCACAAAGGCAGGGGGCGGCGGTGATTCGCCGTAGGCGTCTTCGATCCGCCGCCCCCTGTGGTCTTGCCACAGGGGTGCACGGCGTGCTGGATGTTTCAGGTTTTGGTTTTGGTTCTTTTTCTAAAAGAACTCCCCAGTGGGCTTCGGCCCGTCCCGCCGGCCACCCGCAAGTTTCCGAAAATCCATCTGTCAATGCCTTTGTTGCCCCAACTTGGCCCAAGATGGCCTCCAAGACGGCCAAGATGGCCCAAGATGGCCTCCAAGATGCTTCCAAGACGGCCAAGATGGCCTCCAAAACGGGTAAGATGGCTCCAAGATGCACCCAAGACGGCCCAAGATGGCCTCAAGATGGTCTAAGACGGCCCAAAAGGCCCGCAAAAGGCCTCCAAGACGGCCCAAGAGCCCTCCAAGACGCCCTCCAGGAAGGCCCGAATAGGTTAAATTCATTGATTTTCCATAGGTTTTTCAAAGATTTTGGCATGTTCTTCTTTTCAGCTCTCCGACGGCCCAAGACGGCCCAAGAGGTCCCCAACATCGCCCCAACAGCACCCAAGAGGCCTCCAAGATGGCCCCATGACGGCCCAAGAGGCCCCCAAGAAGGCCCCAAGAGGGCCTCAAGACGGCCCAAGAGGCCTCCAAGACGCCCAAGATGGCCTCCAAGACGGCCAAGATGGCCCAAGATGGCCTCCAAGATGCCTCCAAGACGGCCAAGATGGCCTCCAAGACGGGTAAGATGGCTCCAAGATGCACCCAAGACGGTCCAAGATGGCCTCAAGATGGTCTAAGACGGCCCAAAAGGCCCGCAAAAGGCCTCCAAGACGGCCCAAGAGCCCTCCAAGACGCCCTCCAGGAAGGCCCGAATAGGTTAAAATCATTGATTTTCCTTAGGTTTTTCAAGGATTTTGGCATGTTCTTCTTTTCAGCTCTCCGACGGCCCAAGACGGCCCAAGAGGTCCCCAACATCGCCCCAACAGCACCCAAGAGGCCTCCAAGATGGCCCCATGACGGCCCAAGAGGCCCCCAAGAAGGCCCCAAGAGGGCCTCAAGACGGCCCAAGAGGCCTCCAAGACGCCCAAGATGGCCTCCAAGACGGCCAAGATGGCCCAAGATGGCCTCCAAGATGCCTCCAAGACGGCCAAGATGGCCTCCAAGACGGGTAAGATGGCTCCAAGATGCACCCAAGACGGTCCAAGATGGCCTCAAGATGGTCTAAGACGGCCCAAAAGGCCGGCAAAAGGCCTCCAAGACGGCCCAAGAGCCCTCCAAGACGCCCTCCAGGAAGGCCCGAATAGGTTAAAATCATTGATTTTCCTTAGGTTTTTGAAGGATTTTGGCATGTTCTTCTTTTCGGCTTTCCAAAACTCCGCGACATCCCAATAAGCCTCCAAGAGCGCCCCAGAACAGTCCAAGAGGCCTCCAAGAACGCCCCTAGACGGCACAAGAAAGCCCCAAAACGGCCCCAAAGACAGCCCCAAGACGGCCCGGCAGATCTCCCAAACGCCCACGCTGGCGTCCACTACGGCCACGATAAACCCAAGTGAGGCCACAGAGAGGCCCCCAACCAAGCCCAGACGGCGTCAGGCAGAACAGGAAGGCCGCAAGGCATCCAAAGAGGCCCCCAAGATGCTTCCAAGACCGCACATGTGGCCCAATATAAACCCAGAGTAGCCAAAAAGGCACTCAAGAGACCTCCTCCTCCATTCCCCCCCTTCCTATCTCTCCTCTCCTCCCCGTCCTCCCCGCTGGACGATTCAGGTTTTGGTTTTGGTTCTTTTTCTAAAAGAACTCCCCAGTGGGCTTCGGCCCGTCCCGCCGGCCACCCGCGAATTTCCCAAAATCCGTCTGTCAATGCCCAAAAACGGCCGTTTCGCTCGGGACATCCTCAAAAAATCGCGAAGATGGCCCAAGATGGCCTCCAAGTCCGCCCGAGATGGTCCAAGACGGCCTCCAAAACGGCCCAAGAGAGTCCAAGACGGCCCAAGACGGCCCAAGAGGCCCCCCAGAGGCCTCCCAGACGGCCCAAGAGGCCTCCAAGAGGTCCTCCAGGAGAGTCCGAAGAGGCCAAAATCATTGATTTTCCCTTGGTTTTTGAAGGATTTTGGCATTTGCGCCTTTTCGGCTCTCCGACGGCTCAAGACGGCCCAAGAAGCCCCCAAGATCGCCCAAGAGGCCCCCAAGAGAGCCCCATGATGGCCCAAGTGGCCTCCAAGATGGCCCCTAGAGGCCC